CTACCCTACTCTACTTTACACTACTCTACTCTACTCTACTCTACTCTACTCTACCCTACTCCACTCTACTCTACTCTACTCTACCCTACTCTACTTTACCCTACTCTACCCTACTCTACTTTACCCTACTCTACCCTACTCTACCCTACTCTACTCTACTCTACCCTACTCTACCCTACTCTACTCTACTCTACCCTACTCTACTCTACCCTACTCTACTCTACTCTACCCTACTCTACTCTACCCTACTCTACCCTACTCTACCCTACTCTACTCTACTCTACTCTACCCTACTCTACCCTACTCTACTCTACTCTACTCTACCCTACTCTACACTACTCTACTCTACTCTACTCTACTCTACCCTACTCTACTCTACTCTACTCTACCCTACTCTACCCTACTCTACCCTACTCTACCCTACTCTACTCTACTCTACTCTACTCTACTCTACTCTACTCTACCCTACTCTACTCTACTCTACTCTACTCTACCCTACTCTACCCTACTCTACTCTACTCTACTCTACTCTACACAAGTGTGATGTTTTCTGTCTTGTTTTGCTGAGCACTCTGAGTTGGCCTGTTGTGTATAGACTGTGTTATATAAATAAACTTTCTTCACACATTCTCGGCTGCATCTCCCCAGATTGAGACGCACAGACACCTGCTGAATGCTGAGGAGGTCCACAGACTGACTGACAGAGCCACTAATCCTCAGACGGATAAACAACGGTCCTGACAAACACGATAAGACACACACACACACACACACATCACCACGGCAACCACTGATGGACGTCGCCAGGGAAACGGGCCGAGATGGAGGTGTATAAGAGAGGATTCTACACTGACGATTTTCTGTCTCATCATGTTATTTCTGCTGTCTATATTTATATGAGACCAGAGAGAGACCAGAGAGAGACCAGAGAGAGAGACCAGAGAGAGACCAGACAGAGACCAGAGAGAGACCAGAGAGAGAGACCAGAGAGAGACCAGAGAGAGACCAGAGAGAGACCAGAGAGAGAACAGAGAGAGACCAGAGAGAGAGACCAGAGAGAGACCAGACAGAGACCAGAGAGAGACCAGAGAGAGAGACCAGAGAGAGACCAGAGAGAGACCAGAGAGAGACCAGACAGAGACCAGAGAGAGACCAGAGAGAGACCAGAGAGAGACCAGACAGAGACCAGAGAGAGAGACCAGAGAGAGAGACCAGAGAGAGACCAGAGAGAGACCAGAGAGAGACCAGACAGAGACCAGAGAGAGACCAGAGAGAGACCAGACAGAGACCAGAGAGAGAGACCAGAGAGAGACCAGACAGAGACCAGAGAGAGACCAGAGAGAGAGACCAGAGAGAGACCAGAGAGAGACCAGAGAAAGACCAGACAGAGACCAGAGAGAGACCAGAGAGACCAGACAGAGACCAGAGAGAGAGACCAGAGAGAGAGACCAGAGAGAGACCAGAGAGAGACCAGAGAGAGACCAGAGAGAGATCAGAGAGAGACCAGAGAGAGAACAGAGAGAGACCAGAGAGAGAACAGAGAGAGACCAGAGAGAGAGACCAGAGAGAGACCAGACAGAGACCAGAGAGAGAGACCAGAGAGAGACCAGAGAGAGACCAGAGAAAGACCAGACAGAGACCAGAGAGAGACCAGAGAGAGACCAGACAGAGACCAGAGAGAGAGACCAGAGAGAGAGACCAGAGAGAGACCAGAAAGAGACCAATGAGAGACCAGAAAGAGACCAATGAGAGACAAGAAAGAGACCAATGAGAGACCAGAGAGAGACCAGAAAGAGACCAATGAGAGACCAGAAAGAGACCAATGAGAGACCAGAGAGAGACCAGAGAGAGAGAGACCAGAGAGAGACCAGAGAGAGACCAGAGAGAGACCAGAGAGAGACCAGAGAGAGAGAGCAAAATCCCAAATAATATTTCAGTAAATATAATATTTTAATCGAGAGCTCAGTTTTTCGGCTCTAAATTCAGTCTTATTAAAAAGCTCAGACTCGTTTCATAAATGAGGCTGACCCAGATCTGTCCTGACCTCATCACACCTCTGTGTGTGTGTGTGTGTGTGTGTGTGTGTGTGTGTGTGTGTGTGTGTGTGTTTGAAATACAACTTATCATCTCTACGCTAAAGACAAACACGTACCCTCTACGGAAAGACGAGAAAGAGACCAGAGAGAGACCAGAGAAAGACCAGAGAGAGAGACCAGAGAGAGACCAGAGAAAGACCAGAGAGAGAGACCAGAGAGAGACCAGAGAGAGACCAGAGAGAGAGACCAGAGAGAGACCAGAGAGAGACCAGAGAGACCAGAGAGAGAGACCAGAGAAAGACCAGAGAGAGAGAGACCAGAGAGAGACCAGAGAAAGACCAGAGAGAGAGACCAGAGAGAGACCAGAGAGAGAGAGACCAGAGAGAGAGACCAGAGAAAGACCAGAGAGAGAGACCAGAGAGAGACCATAGAGAGACCAGAGAGAGAGACCAGAGAGAGACCAGAGAGAGACCAGAGAGAGACCAGAGAAAGAGACCAGAGAGAGACCAGAGAGAGACCAGAGAGAGACCATAGATGCATGATTATACTTCTTGTTCATGGTTTTAGTGGTAGGAGTGACCGGAGCACCTGGAGGAAACCAAGGCAGACGCTCGGTGAGGTTCAAAAACACAAATATCTGTTGTCTTTTTGTCAAACTTAACTCCAGCTAAAGTTTCTTGTATCTCGTCTGAAAAGTCTTGGAACCAAACGGACTCATTCATAAATCTGTTCTTTAAAAACTGAAATCTGAAGTGTTTGATCTGGAGCTTTTCAAGCCTAGACTTTACACTCCTCCATTATTCATCAGGTTCATCTTATAGAGACTTTTCAACATGTCTGCCTCCTCTCTCTCCTCTTTCCCCTCCTCTCTCTCTCCCTCTGTCTCTCTCTCTCCCTCCCTCTTTCGTTCCTCTCTCCTCTGTTCCTCTCTCTCTTCTGTCTCTCTCCTCCATCTCTTCTTTCTCTGCTCCCTCTCTCCTCTCTTTACTCTCTCCCCCTCTCTCTCTTTTCTTTCCACTCCCTCCCTGTCTCCTCTCTCTCTTCTCCACTCCCTCCCTGTCTCTTCTCTCTCTTCTCCTCTCCCTCCCTCTCTCTTCTCTCTCTTCTCCTCTCTCTCCCTCTCTCTTCTCTTTCCTCTCTCCCCCTCTCTCTCTCTTTTCTTTCCACTCCCTCCCTCTCTCTTCTCTCTCTTCTCTTCCTCTCTCCCTCCCTATCTCTTCTCTCCTCTCTCTTGTCTTCCTCACTCTCTCTCCCTCTCTTTCTCTCCTCTCTCTCTTTCTCTACTCTCTCTCTCTCTCTCACACTCTCTCTTTCCTCTGTCTCTCTCCTCACTCTCTCCTCTGCTCCCTCTCTCTTCGTCTTTCTCTTTTCTCCCACGCTGATGCGAAATGGAGGCTGTGTAGTCGAGACCCAGGGTTGCCATAGTGACCAGCCATGGCAACGGCGCAGCATCAGCACCCGCATCCCTCCGTCGCCTCCACCGGCAGAGCGTGAGGACAGCTCCACAGGGTAGAGCAGGGTTTAGGTCTCGGGTAGAGTTAGCGCCTGAAGCTAAATCGATAGGATGGTCTGGGTGTGCAGGAGTCACGGTTATTTATATAGCACCTTTCACAGACCAGGATCACAAAGCCAGCAACAATAACACACATATACATCCTTTAGCTGCATCCAGGCTGAAAAGATGGAGGTTCAAGCACACGATCGGCTCAAACACATCCCCCCGACCCTTCTGTGCAGAATGATCCTTTCTCACTTTCTAAAACTCAATTTGAAAAAGGCAGAAATCATCTCTGTCCGTTAGTCTGAGGAGTTGTCATTATATGAAGAGTTTGCAAACAGAGCATTTGGGCAGAATGGGCGGGGAGACACACCGTAGGCCTGTTTCCACCAGTCTCTACTCTACTCTACTCTACTCTACCCTACTGTACTCTGCTCTACTCTACTCTACTGTACTCTACTCTACTCTACTCTACTCTACTCTACTCTACTCTACTCTACTCTACTCTACTCTACTCTACTCTACTCTACTCTACCCTACTCTACTCTACTCTACTCTACTCTACTCTACTCTACTCTACTCTACTCTACTCTACTCTACTCTACTCTACCCTACTGTACTCTACTCTACCCTACTCTACTCTACTCTACTCTACTCTACCCTACTCTACTCTACTCTACTCTACTCTACCCTACTCTACTCTACTCTACTCTACTCTACCCTACTCTACTCTACTCTACTCTACTCTACTCTACTCTACCCTACTGTACTCTACTCTACCCTACTCTACTCTACTCTACTCTACCCTACTCTACTCTACTCTACTCTACTCTACTCTACTCTATACTCTCTGCTCCTACTCTACTCTGCTCTACCCTACTGTACTCTGCTCTACTCTACTCTACTGTACTCTACTCTACTCTACTCTACCCTACTCTACTGTACTCTACTCTACTCTACCCTACTCTACTCTACTCTACTCTACTCTACTCTACTCTACCCTACTCTACTGTACTGTACTCTACTCTACTCTACCCTACTGTACTCTACTCTACCCTACTCTACTCTACTCTACTCTACTCTACCCTACTCTACTCTACTCTACTCTACTCTACTCTACTCTACTCTACTCTACTGTACTCTGCTCTACTCTACTCTACTGTACTCTACCCTACTCTACTCTACTCTGGTTTGTTTTGGGTGGGTTGCCAGGTTACAGTACCAGATAGGGCTGAAATATCAGAGTGGGAGGAGCTACTGGATGGAGTCAAAATAATTATTACGATTCTTTGGTGCAAGACTTAAAAATCAAGAACAAAGGAATGAAATACTCAGGTACGTATCTGTGCAGTAATGTTGACCCTGAGGACCCTCTCTCTGTGAGCAAAGCACCATGTGTGCTGAGGTCTACACAGGTCCAGAGTCACGCAAAGGATCATGGGAAATGTCCTGTTTGATTCATTACACTACAGACCTCCACACGGGACACACCCCCACACGGGACACACCCCCACACGGGACAGACCTCCACACGGGACACACCCCCACACGGGACAGACCTCCACACGGGACACACCCCCACACGGGACACACCCCCACACGGGACAGACCTCCACACGGGACACACCCCCACACGGGACAGACCCCCACACGGGACAGACCTCCACATGGGACAGACCTCCACACGGGACGGACCTCCACACGGGACAGACCTCTACACGGGACAGACCTCCACACGGGACACACCCCCACACGGGACAGACCTCCACACGGGACAGACCTCCACACGGGACACACCCCCACACGGGACAGACCTCCACACGGGACAGACCTCCACACGGGACACACCCCCACACGGGACAGACCCCCACACGGGACAGACCTCCACATGGGACAGACCTCCACACGGGACACACCCCCACACGGGACAGACCTCCACACGGGACAGACCTCCACACGGGACACACCCCCACACGGGACAGACCCCCACACGGGACAGACCTCCACACGGGACAGACCTCCACATGGGACAGACCTCCACACGGGACGGACCTCCACACGGGACAGACCTCTACACGGGACAGACCCCGGGGAGTTCTACCACTGAAGACAGAACAAATCTGTGGGAGGTTAAGACTAAGACCGAGGCAGAGGCCGAGACTGAGAGTGAGCTGAGGCTGAGGTTGAGACTGAGACTGAGACTGAGACTGAGCTGAGACTGAGACTGAGACTGAGGCTGAGACTGAGCTGAAAACTGAGACTGGGACTGAGACTGAGACTGAGGCTGAGGCTGAGACTGAGACTGAGACTGAGCTGAGGCTGAGGCTGAGGTTGAGACTGAGACTGAGACTGAGACTGAGCTGAGACTGAGACTGAGCTGAGACTGAGACTGAGGTTGAGACTGAGACTGAGACTGAGACTGAGACTGAGCTTAGGCTGAGACTGAAACTGAAACTGAGACTGAGCTGAGGCTGAGACTGAGCTGAGGCTGAGACTGAGGCTGAGGCTGAGGCTGGGGCTGAGGCTGAGACTGAGGCTGAGACTGAGACTGAGGCTGAGGCTGAGACTGAGGCTGAGGCTGAGGCTGAGGCTGAGACTGAGGCTGAGGCTGAGGCTGAGGCTGGGGCTGAGGCTGAGACTGAGGCTGAGGCTGAGACTGAGACTGAGGCTGAGGCTGAGGCTGAGGCTGAGGCTGAGACTGAGGCTGAGGCTGAGGCTGAGACTGAGGCTGAGACTGAGCTGAGGCTGAGGCTGAGGCTGAGACTGAGCTGAGGCTGAGACTGAGACTGAGCTGAGGCTGAGGCTGAGGCTGAGGCTGAGACTGAGACTGAGCTGAGGCTGAGGCTGAGGCTGAGACTGAGGCTGAGGCTGAGGCTGAGGCTGAGGCTGAGGCTGAGGCTGAGACTGAGGCTGAGGCTGAGGCTGAGACTGAGACTGAGGCTGAGGCTGAGGCTGAGGCTGAGGCTGAGACTGAGCTGAGGCTGAGACTGAGGCTGAGACTGAGGCTGAGACTGAGGCTGAGACTGAGGCTGAGGCTGAGGCTGAGGCTGAGGCTGAGGCTGAGGCTGAGGCTGAGACTGAGCTGAGACTGAGGCTGAGGCTGAGACTGAGACTGAGACTGAGCTGAGACTGAGGCTGAGGCTGAGACTGAGAGGCTGAGACTGAGGCTGAGACTGAGGCTGAGGCTGAGACATAATTTGTTATATCACATTTTCCATTGGAACAAGCTAAAAATATTTCAATTAAACAGTTTTTTTCTCATTCCAAGATTTTTAACAAAGTTTAACCTCAATAACAAAGTCAAAAACAGTAAAAATGAAGCTGGAATCAAACTTTGTGCCTTTGTAATAGTCTGATTCTCTAATGTTGGTGAATCGACAACTTTGTTCAGTCCTCCACAAATTGGATATCCTAAAGAGGTTCAAAAAAAAATAAACGCATTATTATTATTATTATTATTATTATAATTCCCATCACAGCCTCCATGTTTCCACATTGATCTGGAGGAAGTCTCTGATTGAACGGCTGCCTCCACGACCCGGCAGCGGATAAAGCGGCAGAACATGATAAACTGTTTCCACCCTGGGCCTGTCTTCCATCACTCATATATCCACGTCTGTCACTCAGAGCAGTGGCAGAGTGGTTAGCTTTGGTTCAGTTCGCTGCTTCTGTTACGCACTGACCCGAAATAAACTCCCCCTGGACCCCAGAGGACCAGGAAGACCCCAGAGGACCAGGAAGACCCCAGAGGACCAGGAAGACCCTGGAGCACAGGGACGAGATGTGACATCACTGGAGCCGGACTCTGCTCCCGTCGCATCAAACACAAGAATCTGATTCTACAGAAGTCACCTTCATCTGAAAAATCAGTTTCTAAATGTACTCTGAGGAGCACAGGGACTGGCCTCCTGCTGGGACTCTGAGGAGCACAGGGACTGGCCTCCTGCTGGGACTCTGAGGAGCACAGGGACTGGTCTCCTGCTGGGACTCTGAGGAGCACAGGGACTGGCCTCCTGCTGGGACTCTGAGGAGCACAGGGACTGGCCTCCTGCTGGGACTCTGAGGAGCACAGGGACTGGCCTCCTGCTGGGACTCTGAGGAGCACAGGGACTGGCCTCCTGCTGGGACTCTGAGGAGCACAGGGACTGGCCTCCTGCTGGGACTCTGAGGAGCACAGGGACTCTCACAGACCGTACCGGAGGCATTAGAATGTTTCAGTAGCTCTGACTGGCGCTCTCCGTAAACAGAATGGATGCTTGTTTATCTATTAGCTCTTCCTAAAGTGCCGGTGCCGCGCCCCCCTTCCCCTCCCCTCGGCTCGAGCAGCGACCCGTCACAAAGATAAGCGGGAGGGAAATGAAATGAATGAATGAGCAAACGATAAAGCATGATCTCACTGGAACAGCAACTACAGACCCCCGTGAGCGGATCCTACTGACAGGGGGGGGGCTGTAAAGATAGAATGTTGCCCCAGTCCCTGTGCTCCTCAGAGTCCCAGCAGGAGTCCAGTCCCTGTGCTCCTCAGAGTCCCAGCAGGAGGCCAGTCCCTGTGCTCCTCAGAGTCCCAGCAGGAGGCCAGTCCCTGTGCTCCTCAGAGTCCCAGCAGGAGGCCAGTCCCTGTGCTCCTCAGAGTCCCAGCAGGAGGCCAGTCCCTGTGCTCCTCAGAGTCCCAGCAGGAGGCCAGTCCCTGTGCTCCTCACGGCGTGAATGCTAAGCCTTAAGGACACACACACAGGGGAATCCCACTGTTAACTTATAACATATAATTATATATATAATAATGGTTGGAGTCTGTGTCATTAGCTGCGGTTGTTCTCCTTCTACACGCCTCAATAATTAATGCCAGGGCAGAGACGGCGCCCCCCAGAGGCCGGACACAAGGGAGCACTTGTTTGACCCAATCACAGACTCTTATTAAGGGATGGACAGAGAGCGAAGGAAAAGGGGGAAGATGGCACCGACCGGAGCAGTCATTATGACGGCTCTGAACGCCTAACCTGGCAAAAGCCAGATTGATGATTGTGTAGAACTCTAACGCGTTCTCCGCGATATCAATCTGGGATTTCTCCCGGAGAATCCTTTCGGGGAAAGGAGGGATAAGCAGCAGAATACTTGAAGCTGATTGGGCGAAGTGACGCTGTGTGCCCGCCTACCAAGGTTGCCGTCCAGAAATGTACAAAGCGCCTCTCGCTGTTCATCTTTCAAAAAAGAAATTGGAGATTCTGCTAAAACTGACTTTGCGTCCGTCCTCCTGCGTAGCCATGTTTGTTTTGCTTCGGCCCGGCACTTCTTGCTTTCGTCAAACCCGGATATCCCGCCCTAAACCCCCAGACTGGCGCGTGATTGGCTCGCACACCCAGTGGTTCGACTCGAAAAGTGTAAGCGGGAGCGGTACAAGATGTATTCTCGAGTGTTTGTGAACTCACAAATACCGCGAGAATTCAGCTTGCAGGCAAGGTTACTGAACGCCCCCACAGACTGAGGCTGTGGGTGTTTGGGGGGGGTCCACATGTGCAGAACAAAAACAACAGGTATAGAATCTTTACAATGTTGTAGCTGAAGTTGGCTGGATGACCATGGGTTAGCACAGGGCCACATCAAATGAACCAGAGGACCACAACTGTCCCGCGGGCCTGAGTCTGGAGTAAATGAACTGGACCTGGGCCTGATGAGGAGTGCTGAGAGTACTGATACTCAACCACTGACAGAGTAATGAGGATACTCCACAGATACAGAAAACTGTGGTTTCATCTGTTTCAGTCTGAGACCAGCAGAGAGACCAGAGAGAGACCAGCAGAGAGACCAGAGAGAGACCAGAGAGAGACCAGAGAGAGACCAGAGAGAGACCAGCAGAGAGACCAGAGAGAGACCAGCAGAGAGACCAGCAGAGAGACCAGAGAGAGACCAGAGAGAGACCAGCAGAGAGACCAGAGAGAGACCAGAGAGAGACCAGAGAGAGACCAGAGAGAGACCAGAGAGAGACCAGCAGAGAGACCAGAGAGAGACCAGCAGAGAGACCAGCAGAGAGACCAGAGAGAGACCCAGAGAGAGACCAGAGAGAGACCAGAGAGAGACCAGAGAGAGACCAGAGAGAGACCAGAGAGAGACCGGAGAGAGACCAGAGAGAGACCAGAGAGAGACCAGAGAGAGACCAGAGAGAGACCAGAGAGAGACCAGAGAGAGACCAGGGAGAGACCAGAGAGAGACCAGCAGAGAGACCAGAGAGAGACCAGCAGAGAGACCAGAGAGAGACCAGAGAGAGACCAGGGAGAGACCAGAGAGAGACCAGCAGAGAGACCAGAGAGAGACCAGAGAGAGACAGAGAGAGAGACTAGAGAGAGACTAGAGATGGACCAGAGAGACCAGAGAGAGACCAGAGAGAGACCAGAGAGAGACCAGCAGAGAGACCAGAGAGAGACCAGAGAGAGACCAGAGAGAGACCAGAGAGAGACCAGAGAGAGACCAGAGAGAGACCAGCAGAGAGACCAGAGAGAGACCAGAGAGAGACCAGAGAGAGACCAGAGAGAGACGAGCAGAGAGACCAGAGAGAGACCAGAGAGAGACCAGAGAGAGACCAGAGAGAGACCAGAGAGAGACCAGAGAGAGACCAGAGAGAGACCAGCAGAGAGACCAGAGAGAGACCAGAGAGAGACCAGAGAGAGACCAGAGAGAGACTAGAGATGGACCAGAAAGGCCAAAAAGAGAGACCAGAAATCTAGATCTGATTTAGT